AAATTGATTATGCTTGTGTAGATTTGTACTGTTTAGAAAGCTGGCTGAATATATTTTCAAACCCTGTCCATCAAACATCTAGAAGATAATCTAGGTTTCTAAACTCTATGGGAGTACTGTAGCTGCCTATCACACTCTTTGTACATGACTTACATGAATTAATATGGATGTAGAGTTATGAGATGTCATTCAAGGTACATTGAGAATAATATTTCAACTTTGAATTGGACAGGGGAGTGGTTATTTTGTGAGGCAGGTAGCCTCGTTTACTTGATGATGCAGCATCTCTGTTCAGCTTCATGACTGGAGCTGGCAGTTATTGTGGAGCCAGTGGTAATTGCAGCTTCACAAGTGCTGTCAAGAGCCTCCACAACCAGACTTGTCAATTTTGTGAGTCACAAGACCTGAGCTGAGACTGATGTGGGGGAGAGTTGCCGAGCACTTATACATGCTTAGCTCAACCTGTTACCACAGAATAGGTGGCACATGACCTGAGGCCTGAGGGGAGTGCTTTCTTTCTTTGGCTTTTACTCCAAATGTTTAACCATAGCCAAGCCCCTTCACCCATTTAAGGTTTTAACGACATCGTTGATTGTCAATTTACTCATTCCATTTTATTCCAGGTTTCTCTTCCTATATGCATACATCAAATTACTGATATATTGAACTTCTTTGATCCCATACAACATATGCTTCCCAGCTTGGCTCACGACTCTGCTCACACACACCTAGCTGAACTGACACAACAACCATGTGGCACAGAACCATGACATACACTATGGATACATGAATACAAGAATATGTGTATATGTGGATACCTGAATACAAGGATACATGAATACAAGGATACAAGAATATATGTATACATGGATACATGAATACAAGGATACATGTATATGTGGATACCTAAATACAAGGATACACATATGTGGCACAGAACCATGACATACACTATGGATACATGAATTCAAGGATACATGAATGCATGAATACATGAATACAAGAATACTTGTCTACATGGATACAAGGATACAAGAATATGTGTATACATTGATACATAAATACAAGAATATGTGTATATGTGGATACCTGAATACAAGGATACAAGAATATATGTATACGTGGATACATATGTAGATGCCTAAATACAAGGATACACATATATGTGAATACCTGAATACAAGGATACAAGAATATGTGTATACATAGATACCTGAATACAAGAATACATGAATAGTATATATGGATACGTATACATGAATACAATTATACAATTTATACTCAATACTCTGTCTAGTATGATGATATCTTCTATCATAAAAAACATTTCGATACTCTCTCATTGTTCAAACAAGCAAGGTATTATTATCATACTTCAATCATACTATTCTATTACTCTCATACCAATCTCTATATCCACATTATACTATCATATAAGTACAATTCTTCTTATCATTGGAGTTAGTATACCCATTTTATACCATTCTCATATTATATTATATACTATCATGATATACTTCCAATACTCCTCTTCTAGTATTTAACTAGTATTTAATCCTCACATTAAAACTATTCATTTTGTATTACTATACCTATCTGATACCATTCTCATATTATATTGTGTAGTATTATGATATGCTTTCAATACTCCTCTTCAAGTATTCAACTAGTATTTAATCCCCACCTCAAATTTACCAAATTGAAATTTGTATACCCTTCTGATACTGACATGATATTATATTGTATAATATTATGATATATCTTCATTACTTCTCATCTAGTATTGAATCCTCACATTAAAATTGTTGATTTTAAAATTCTGTTCAATGTCATACCCTTCACATACTTTTTGAATTTCCATACACCAGTATTATGCTTTTATTATAAAAGTATGAAATGTAGCTTTCAAACAGTATGATAAAATATCATAGCATACTATTTGGATACTCTGCCTGCAATATTTAAAGAGTATATAGATATTTCACTCTCATAATTTTTCCATACCAACAAAATACCTGTCAGGCAGTATTGTTTGTTTGTTCTTGATACTAACACAATACTGGCATCTCAGTATGTTGGTCATCTTTAATGAATATCTGCTTAATATTGTGTTAGTATCCAATATGAAAATGCGATATATTTTCATACTTTCAAGATATTCCCTTTATATCTACTCTCTAGTATCATATAAGTATCTTTTGAATATTATATATAATATTTTTAAAGTATCTTATCCTGAAGAATCATACTCTTAAAATATTGGCCAATCAGTATGTTGAAGATATTTTGTTCAAAGTTAAGATACTGTGATAGAAGTATTATTCTAGTATGTGACCCAGTATTGAGGAAAAACATTTGAATACAATCAAAATACTAATCAGATACTTCAGCATGGGTAATAAAATATATATCTTCATACCAATCACATACGTGGTGGATGGTATTTTGGGAAAATTTTATGTACCATCAAAATACTTTCAAAATATTCTCACGTCAGTATGTTGGAATGTTTGCAGTGTTCATACCCAAGCCCTCTACATTTGCCTGTAATAACGACGTAGACCGATCGTCCGACGACTACCTGGCAAAACTGGCTATACACAGGGATAGCGCCAGGCAAGCTATCGCTTTGGCCCAACACGATCAGGCGAAGAGTTACAATAAAGGGAGAAAGCCCGCACCCTCCCTTCATCTGGGCAGTAAAGTGCTCCTGAACCCTCATTCATTGGAATGGATAGAATCCAAGGGAGAGGGAGCAAAGCTCACCCCACGATGGATCGGGCCATTTGAGATCACGGAGCATATTAACCCAAAGGTTTATCGACTACAACTCCCTGATAAGTATCCTGGCTCTCCTATTTTCAACATCGAACACCTGAAAGCTTATCGAGAACCCACCAAAGAAGACAGAACTCAGATGCCCAAATCAAATCTACAGAGGGACGAGTCTCGAGAATACAAAGTGGAGTCCATCCTCGGTCACAAAAGAACTGGGAAAACGAAGGGCTTGAAATTTCTAGTCTGTTGGGTCAAGTGGCTCACAGCACGCGACTTGCGTAACGCCTCAGATACCCTTTGGGAATATCGGAGGCAGAACAATTTATGAGAACCACCAAGTCACGCTCAATGACACCAGTCGTTGAGTGATTTTTCTTTCTCTCCCTTCTTTCATTCTTTTCACCTTCTAATCTTATTTCGACGATTTTTAACTTCTATAATCCATCCCAATCCTTCATTATCAGTTTATAAAGCTTCCCTTATGTTCGTATTTGGACTATACCTTCTCATCACACATGGTCCCCTGTCACATCAAAGCAGGGTCCTGATGATTATCACCTACATCTTTTTCTTTGCTTTTTTTTTACTTCTTCACGAATCGTCTCAATCGATGCTGCGTTCTCTTACTTCACCTGACCTTGGGTTGACCAGGAAAGGTTTTTTACGTGATTGGTCCTAGCGGTTGACGCGAAGGAACATGTCGTCGGCTAACTTTTATCTTGACAAGGGCGATAGAGCCCCTGAGGTATATCTCTTCAATCACGATTGGGCGGATTGGATTGGGTTGAACACTGATACGAGGAAAATCCCTCTAGGAGCCCGAAACTGGAAAGACCTCACAGCAGTGGATTGGGACTCAGTCGAAGTGACTCCCTCGGGGAAGTACGCAGACCTCGAATGGACATTGCACCCTGATTGGTGCCGCCATGACACCCATTGGCGCGGTTTCGGCCTGACACGAGTGGACACCATACCCTCAGTTGGATCTCCCTGGTACTTCGATATGGATACGCCTGTAGCTTACTGTGCCATGGAAGGAGGGTTTTCCTTCGCCGAACAACAGAGGAGTAATGCCGCTAATGACCTCACGTTCTTCGATAGCTGCTTAGAAGAAATCGTTGCCACTAAACGATTCGTCAACGATTCACCAGTTCCCCCCCCTTTCAATCGCGATTGTTTAACTGCGACCTTCCATTCTATCATTGCGCTACAGAAAGAAGGAGCTGCAGCCAAGAGAGCAGCATGGGACCGTCTCGTGTTTCTAACCTGGTGGACCTCCGCTTGTGACGACTGGGCGGATGGCATGGACGAAGTAATCGCTGATCGAGTAGAGTGCATTGTTTCGAGAGGGAGAGACCCTAGAGGCTTCCTGTTCGACCTTCTTATGGACTGGCATGAGATGAATATTCCCTTCCTTCTGGCGCGATCCATCCCATTCTATTACACATTCCCATTAGAAGCCCGTCTCAATGAAAGATTCTGCCGCCTCAATCCCAAGATCTTAGCCTCCTATGCAGGACCCGATGGTGATGAAGTCATTATACACGACATCGATTACGAAAGCGACACTGAAGCAACGGAAGCCACTACTCACAGATACGACGATTTCTTTCAGCCACTGAATCCTTGAATCGTGAATGATCACATGTCCTATGAATCGGATTCATTCTTCTTCATTATCGACTTTGAAGGGTGGGGACGCCAGCCTGTAACTTCAGACCACGAATGCAGGTGGTTTTTTGCCTGTTTTCACTTCACCGTGGTTGGAGGCGTTGATGACTCGCCTCAAGTTATTTTCTGGTGTTTTCGACCTAAGATTTCACTAGCTCAACAGTGTGATAATATTCTATGGAACCCAAGAACCAATGACCCCTCTTTGGTCCGAGAACTATTCAAAGGCGCATTTGCCCCTACTCTCTCTCGTCTGTTTCATCCAGAACTCGGAACTCTGCAGCCACCCGGGTTCAAGAATCAAAGCTCTCCTTCTGTTAAGCATCCTAAGCCTACGATAAATTCTGCCCCATTAGCAAGTCGTCTCTCCATGAACTGGGAGATGAGTTCGACGGATAACGAGGCTCCCACCAACAGTGTTCCCAGCCTACTAGCTCATATGTCCCATCAGGGCGCTACTTTCAAAAAGATTCCCATGCGACAAGTATCTCGCTTGGACTCCTCAGGCTCGAACTCTAGCGACGCATCCAGGAGTCGTAGCTCCCAAAGCTGCCAATGTTCCCAGTCACCACAGCCTTGTCACGACTGTTGTTCCATCAGTCCAGCAGAATCTTTTAAGACAGCCCTTTCAGAAGCAGTAGCGTGATTTACTTGGAAAGAGAGACCTGAGAGGCTAGCCCTACTAGCCGATTCGGACAGGCAGTGCATCTTCGTCTTTCAGCATGCTTTTCTCTGCATATCGGACTGGAAATCACAAATACGGATGCGGTACTATGCTAGTTGTCGCCCCAAAGTGTCTAGCATCCACCAAGTCATGGACATAGCAGTGATCCATCGACTGGAATTCGCGCTCGCCATACGGGTGTCCAACATAAACATTTTCATTCCAGATGTGGTCTCTGGTCTGGACCAAATGGGTATCAAGGCACTATATCAACCCGGCTTTACCGAACCATCCTTTTCCTACACGAAAGGCACCCCAGCAATATTCGCCAACGCTTACCTGGCCAAAATCAACGACATTCTCTGTAGGCCTCATGCATGAGCGTTTGTTGGTATGGGGGGACCATACAGTTGGATTGCAGAACGATTCGGGGGGCCAACAATTGTCAAATCTTTCCTATCAGGACCTTCGATTCAAGTCACCAGGCATTTGCTCGGCAAATCCGACTCTCACGAGGAGAATCCCATAGGACTTCAATGGGACCAAGTCTCCGCTCAAGAAGGTTCTTTTCTTTTCGGTTTCGTACCTAGCCAGGATTCTTTGACCCCGGAACGCTACCTCTTCCCTCCTCCACATTATCTATGGGAGTTATGCGACCACTGGACGGGCGACTGGAATGAAGTCATGACAAGATTTTCTCGCGTATTGCGGACGACATTGAACAAGGCAAAGCCGAGCCTCACGAACGGAGCTGGTGGAGCAGTCATCTACGGAATTACAATCGATTGCCCAAACCCGTCAACCCAAAGTTCAATGACGCCGAAGTGGAAGACGCGCGACGGATCTTATGGCGCGCAGGCCTCCCCTAGAACATGGGACCGCATGCTCATCAAGTCAATCACGGTTCCCGAACATTGTATGTCGTAAGGTGCAAGTGTGCAGCAGGGGGGCTATGTAAGGTACTATGGATCTTCACTCGCCTACTCCTTCACCTCCATCGCAGACCTACTCAGTGCTTTCCCCTTACACCTCATTCTTCAAACTCTATCCTCTTAGTCATTAGTTCTCATGCTGTATATACTTGCCATGTAGCTTCTAGTTGAATAACCATCTTTTATCCAACCATCATCTACCTACTATCAGGTTCCGAGCTACTGTACTAACAGACCTCAAAACTCTGATCTAGGTGATTAGTGTGTGTGTAGAGCTTACGGCCTCCTCTGAAAGGTTGACTTGACGAGGACGGATAGTACCGAGTCCACGGTTGACGTCGACTTCGATACGTATCCTAGACCCAACAGCTCTACGTGTGTGGGTCATCACACCATTGCTCGTCAGACTTTCGGGTTGCATGACGATTGACACAGTTCAACCCTCACACAGGGAGGCAAAGGGATCAAAGGGATCAAAACACGAGTGAGATCACGAACTGAACCGGACTCCAAGGTGTTGGTTAACCACCTGGGCCTATAACTGAGAGCAGGGCTCAACCAGGAGACAGAGACAAGATATGAGGAACAGAGAAACAGTTTAAAGGTGCATTTGCGAGTACAATGATGACTAAATACCTAAGGGAAGGATGCCAAGGCAACCAAGGAAGAACAATAAGTACAATACAATAAGTACAATAAAGATAAGGGAACAAGGAATCACAAGGTAACAAGCCAATAAAGGGTTGGGATGGAGAAACAAGGCATCATGGTGAAGGGTTTGGCTTGGGGATGTCTCAGCCGTAGAGCATGGGTGATGGTTCGTGACAGCAGACCCTAGCATAGGGTTTAGTGTTCCCCCATCATACCTCCCTCATAAACTGTCATTTCTATGTAAAAAACCTGTGATGCGTAAATAGTGTTGGAGGAGGCCATTGAGTGAGTTAGCAGGAGACCATTGTCAAGACACAGGTTCATGTTAACTGGTTTTTTTGCAGTCTTTACACTCTCAAAACAGATGGTATGACAAAGCTGTCACAGGGTGTCTGGGGTCCTTTTCCAAAATAAATAAATAAATTCTGCAGGCTGCAATACTGGTCCATTGGGTACCATTTTTTGTGGGGTGGTTCTCCATGTTTTTCTTGAGATATTGAACTACAAATTGAGGCTAGATAGTCCAAACCATCTATTGAAAATGAATTTAAATAGGCTTTATCCCAGCTTTTCTCATGCATCCAAAGCCATTTAATGATACATGTCTTTCCCAGTCCTTTCTATTTGAACAATATTCATCCAAATCAAACAATACCACATCTATTGGGATGAAGTGGTCATTGAGAAGCAAAGAAAAGTGGAAAGGTTCTTCAGGTTTTTTCTAAGATTTCCAACTCCAAGTGGAGGCTAGATAAGTCAACTCCAACCTTTGGAAATCAGTTCAATTGAGGGTTTTTTCATTTCTAAAAAGCCATTAATATGAATCCTCCCAATAATAGGTCAAATATATTTTGCCCAGTAGGGCCAATCAGGCAGTCCTACCTACTTACATAGCATGTACATATAGTATGGCCAACAACAGCATATAATCTCAATTTTCTTAAGAAGTACATATGATGGAATCAGGTATTGTTGTCCTGAGTGTTTGGCCAAAGTCTTCTTTTGTCATAATATTTGGTCCAATTTATTGAAGCTGAGTGAATCTGTCCAATCCAAAGTCTTGTTAATTGGAAATAGAATCAAGTCTTGTTGTCCTAAGAGTCTTCATTATCAAAATATCATACCATGGTATTCATACCATACCATACCATACCATGGTATTGCACCCTCATACCATACCATGCACCCTCATACCATACCATGCACCCTCATACCATACCATGGTATTGCACTCCTATACCATGGTATTGCACTCCTATACCATACCATGTACCCTCATACCATACCATGCACCCTCATACCATACCATGTACCCTCATACCATACCATGGTATTGCACTCCCATACCATACCATACCATACCATACCATACCACACCATACCATACTATACCACACCATACCATGTCCTCATACCATGCATCCTCATACCATACCATGGTATCAGGAACCATAATTTATTTTTATTTAAGCAGAGGAAGTCAGAAAACCATCATTTCGAAGTTTGTTTACATATATTTACCAATAGCTTTGACCAAAGTGATGCTAAAATTTTGTAGTGTCCGCTTTGATGTACGCACTATTTCC